ATGAAAGTTAGAAAGTTGAAATTTTCACAGATAATGTATTTCTGTAGATTCTGTAACAACAAATACTAATATTCCTTTTTTTTTTTTTTTTTTTTTTTAATTTTTTTCTTCGAGTTAATCGTTGGACGGAGGAGGAACCGCGTTAGCATTACTTCTTCTCAATACATAAAATGTATGAAATTTAAAATTTAAAAGTGATTTTGTATTTACAAATGTATAATAAATGTATGTTATATATAAATTACATTACTCATGATAATATCATCAAATATACTATAATAAAAAATGGAAATGACATAAGCCAGAAACTATTTTAAAACCATAATTTATTCGTCGTACGATATAATGTTGTTTTATAAGATTTCCTGCTGTAATATATAAATATATAATAAAATATATGTAATATAATTCACGTAAGATGATTCACGATTAAAGATATAATGCGCATGATAGACAGTATAGCGTAAGCCACGGTGCCAATGATATTTGTATTACGGTAATATTTTGTATAATATTATTCGAACACGGACAAATCGCCGTCGCCGTTTCGGCGTTGCCATTTCGCCGTCGCAACTTCGCCGTAAAACCATTTCGCCGTCGCTGTTTTGACGTAGGCCACTTCGCCGTTAAAAAAAATTAACAAAATACACATTTTAGATTCTGAGTTGAACGATGAATGTATGGATTTTACAATGATGTGTGTTTTTATATATTTTTTTTTAATTTTTTTATTTTTGTGCCTGTGTACACGATAAGTAGTCGAAATAATGCTTCGATTTTCGACTTCAGTATCTTGTTCGATTGGAAAGTGAATATCGCTGGTGCATTGGGAGGTCAAAATTTAAGATTCCCAGTAATTTTCAAAAGCGCCAAGAAAAACAAAAGAAAAATTAAGGAAAAACGGGAATTTTTACGCAAAATCGATTTTTCAGAAAATTGAATTTGGTTTTGGTGTAACTTTAAAACAAATGACCGTAGATACATGAAATTTTCACTGGTTGTTTATATTTGCATTTTCTATACACGATAACATTTTCAAAATATTTTGATTTATTTTGAACTGTTAGGGACATTTTCATTTTTCTTTTTTTTTTAGTTTTTTTTCTAGAAATATCAATAAAATTTTATTTGTTGGTTAAAAAACCTTGAAAATTTAATAGAATGCTCCTAGTATATTGTTTCAAAGACAGATGAAAAATATTAAAAATCGTTAGTCACAGTTTTTTTTTATAAGCATTTAAAGTTCAAAAATTGACAAAATAAGTACACCTCCAATATCTTTAGCCAGTATTACGTAAACTTGAGCAAAAAGAGGAGGTGCAATCTTAAATGTTCCGTCACAAAACCATATATTTGATCGTTCTAAAATATCTAAACTGCTTAATCTTCCAAAACTTAAAATTCTATCTAAACCTGGCCCACTATCGTCGAGTAAAAATTTCTCATTCACACCTTCAGATGGTGAATAAATTGTGTACGCTTCTGGAATTATTAGAGAAATTAAATCTTGAGGTGCAGAGGGAGCTAAATATCTGTTGGATGTTATTTTATTACTATCTTAATTCTACCTATTTTCGTTTATCGCTGGACGCGATTATAAGCTATGATAAATCTCATACACACAAACTCTGCAGCACATCTAAACCTTCAGATATCGGAAAATGATAAACTATTTAGGGCCCATATTACAATAGTCGATTACACTTCGATTATGTAAATAACTATTGTAATACGGCACTTAGACGTCGATAAAAGCTTATTATTATTAAATATTATTGACGAAAAATAAAAATATTTTTTATTATTATTGAATATTGGAATGTGTATAATGTGAAAATGTGTATAATAAATAATAATAAGTAAAATGCTCCAAATTTTTTTTAACGCCGAAGTGGCCTAAGATTGTTACCGCTAAGATTGTTGTTATTAATATTTGATTATTATAGAAAATGCTAATATAAAAATTCAGTCAAAATTTCATGTACCTACGGTCATTTGTTTAAGAGTTGCACCAAAACCCAAAATCGATTTTTTCGAAAACAGATTTTAGTGTAAAAATTCCCGTTTTTCCTTAATTTTTTTTTTTGTTTTTCACACCGCTTTTGAAAACTTCTGGGAAATTTTCACTTTTGACCCCCCAAAGTACCAACTTAGACTAGATTCACTTTCATATCAGAAAAGCTACTGTTGAAGAAAATCCAAGCACTTTAACTGTCCTAAAACGTGATTGAGAGATACAAAAAAAAAATTTAAAAAAAATTAAAATATTAAAAAAAACACACATCATTGTAAAATTAATACATTCATCGTTCCACTCAGAATCTTAAAAAGAAATTTGTTTAGTTTGTTGTTGAAATATAGAAACACAATAATTATACTCCGGCCCATGAGAAATAATTACCATTACGCACATGTAGACCGACGATATTCCCCCACTTAGTGTCATTCAGTGTATGTCCAATACGTGGCGATGCGCTGAATCGAACGCGTATTGGTAGGGGGACACGGTAATGATCTCTTGTTGGCCGAAGTATAGTTTTAATTTTTTTTCAATATTATTATTGATACGCGATAACTGATTACTAAAAATGTATAGCACGTCAACAGCATTATAATTAAGATATACATTCATTAAAATGAATGTTAATATTCAATAAATTTATTTTGCATGATGAACAGTCTATTTAATTAATATAATATTTAACATTTTATTTTTACAGATCTTTTAAAAGAATTGAACAAATTTGTGAAAAATGGTACTTATGTATAAATACTGTCCAATAATGGGTTGGGAATTTCATATATTTTATTTATTTTTAAACAATTATCCTGGTTTTTCGTCTAAAAAATGTTCTTTCTAAACGTATACAAATCGAGTTCTATACTTGTCTGTAGAAAGCAATTTTAATGAACGCACTCAATATAATATCTTATAGGTACTAATTTATTTTGCAGATGTAACTAAAGCTCAAGCGGTTGAACCCTATTGCAAAACTTTTACAGAGAACATAAAAACTTCTCTTGAGACAATTTTTGATACTCAGAAATATAACCCATCGGACGACAGCGACGATTAAATATTTAGTTTATTCATTCTTATATTCATATAAATTAAACTATACGGTATAATATGCCATCACATTATATTGTATTAAAACTATTTTCATTATAATTACATATATTACTATAATAATTCATACTATATAAATATGAGGTTTTCGGTAAAATAATATAATTCAATATAACATTATAATTATATATTGCTAATAGTACAATCTACCTAGCATAAATTACTAATATTATATAAATATATATATTTATATTTTTTCCTTTACCAGCCGTTTAGACTCTTTGCCACCATTACTACTTCTTTCCAATGATCATTATCATAATATTATGTCTACTAAAATCTATTCTAATAAATCCTTGACACTGTCTTTGCATATTTTCCGCAGTCTTCCTCTTTCCCCTCACCATATATGCCATTGGTTCTTTCAACATACTTCCATCAGTCATCACCCCGCTATAATACAACGTCTTCCCATTATATCATTGTCCCTCTGATGCATTTGAATATACAACTTTTCTTTTGTAAAGCTGGGAGCATGGGCGTTATCTCCTTTAATATATGCATATATATTAAAATATATAATCAATAATATGGGTTAGTGTGTCTCAGTACTGCATCGTTTTTTTGTACGCAATGATTGAATTCAAATCATCAAACACATACCTACGCGTAATCCATTACAGCGAGTACAGTGTTCCATGGGGAACCAATTTCGCGTAACCACCGACTTTTTCCTACTGACTTCGGACTTATGCAAATATTTTTTTATAGATTCAAGTTTAGGTTTTCATAATTATTTTGTTGCACCTGCTAAATATATAGATACCTACGTTTGTGAAGTTGGCCCCTCGGGCCTCGACTAACCTATGCCAATATTTTGCAACTTATTTGCAAACATTTGCAACAAGCTTTTGGAAATTTTGCAACTCCATACGTTCCCCTCACTCAACGATTTACTTTTAGGGGGGCAAACTTCACCTGGCCCTCCGACTTCACCCGATCCCCTAGAAACCTATGCAAATATTTTGCAACTTATTTGCAACTATCTGCAACATGCTTTTGGTAATTTGCAACTCCATACTTTAACAGATATCCAAATTTTTGTGTGAGTGGGTAGGGGGCGGGGTTGGCTAGTAAAAAATTACTTTATACCCTATAAGTGGTATACAACAAAATAATAATCACAATTTTTTTTAAGATTATAGATAGGTACTTAGTTATAATATTATAGGCATTTATTTAACATTGAATGAAAAAAAAACGTAATCTGACACTTGTGATAGGTAAGATAATACCTATATTAATAATTATTATTTTGATATTTGCTAGGATTCCGTGTTACAATATTAGTTTGTCGATGTTTTAACATAGGAAATACATCGCTGTAGTATTAATTAAAATGGTTCAAAACTATACTTGGTGTCAGGAAATAAAATATTTGCAAAAACACCTATAAGCATTTATTTAATCGACGATAATATTGTAATTAGAATAGGTGGTCGTTTAAATAATGCCACATCGATAAGCGTATTTCAGTGGAACCCAATGCTACTACCGGCGACGAGTAATTTAACGGCTTTTTACGACTTTTAAGCGCGGGTCACATTATGCTGGTAGCCAGCCGCGAGTTGAAGAAGCCGCTTCTGCCAGCTGTCGATCAGCTTAGTGTGACAACAAAATTCGGCGCTGGCGTCGCCAGCTGGCGAGTATTTGTCAGCGGCTGACGAAGTTGGACATGTTTAACTTTTGGTAGCAGGCAGCGGCGAATAATCAATCACGTGACCGCTGGCACCAGCCGGCAGCGCAGTCTGACCACTATTGCGTCTATCAGCAACGAGAAAGCACGTGGTCTTTTGTGAAGTTGTTTAGATGTGACTTTATTATAATTTGTAATTTTTAATTGATTCGAGTATAATTAAAGTTATTAAGAATGTCTGAGTTAAAGTGGACTACGAAACAAATAATAACATTTTTAAACGTTTTTCAAAATTATCCTTGTTTGTGGGACGTTACGTCGAAAGACTATTTAAATAAAAACTTTAAAGAGGTGTCGTACAACAAACTATTAGACAACTTACACATGTCAGATATACCAGGATCACTTGATTCTTTGAAAAAAAAAATAAAAAGTTTACGTGATACCTACCGCAAGGAATTGCAAAAGGTTCAAAAATCAAAAAAAAGTGGTGCCGGTGCAAATGATGTATACAAGCCAAAGCTTGCATGGTTTTCTTCAGCTGAAGTATTTTGGCAACGGTCTATCATAGGTAGAGAATCATCTTCAAATTTGGTAAGTAAATAGATAAATAATAAAGAATCAATTATCAATAAATAAATATTAAGAATAATATATATCAATACCGAAATAATACTATAAATTGTATAATTATAAACCTTAAGAATGCCTCAAAGTTAATGTACCTATCTATTAACTGTATCTAGGCATGTATTTATTAAAGTTTCATATTTAACCTAACCAATTGATATTTATTATATATATAATATTAATAATTATAAACTATACTTTACATAAAATAGTTTATAATACTTATTTATTAAAAACAAATATCAAAAATCGTTTGCGGCTAAATCGTTGTTTTACGTGATTTCGTAAAAGTTTAAATTTCAAATGCTCATAAAAAGTATTAGTTTAGTCCGGTAGAGTTTTTTTACAGATATTTGAAGAAAACTTATGGAGAACTATGTATCAAAGTTTGAAACCTTAGGTTTTTATACTTAACATTTTATGCATTTTCAACAACAAAAAAACTTGAAATTATCATATTATTATATATTATCATATTTCGTAAAAATTTGAACTTTATATGCTTATAAAAAAAAGTTGTGACACACGATTTTTGATTTTTTTTTAATGGCTATAAGTAGAACTTATGATAAACTTTACATTACATTTTAAATAATTTTTGGCCATCCAAATTCTTTTTATCGACATTTCAAAAAAAAAAAACCAAGAAAAATCAAAAATTTCAACTGTCTATAAGTAGCTCAAAAAAAGTCAATAATAATTTTACAAATGCTAGTTTCAGAAATGTATTATTTTATTATAATAAATAAGAAGACATGGGTAAATTAATGTTATAATTTGATATATATTTTGTTATATTACCTTTTATTACATTATTTATAATATTGATAAAATAGTAAATACATACACTTAAAAGTTTTCAAAAAGTTATTCATTTTCGACTGCATTTTCGACTGCTTGTGTTGGTTCTATACCAATTGACGTCATTTGCCATGGAACTGATAATTTTGTCATAAATTGATGCATGTACCACTGCCGAACCTCTTCACCAGTTCGACCATAATTATTTGAAGAATACAGGCGGTCTATTGGGAGCATTAAGCTCGGCATGTCTCGCCACGCCCCTGGTGCTATAACCCCCGTGTTTAAGTCTTCATCGTCCACAGATCCTGAAGGAAAATATGTTCTGGGAGAAGTCTGTCGTAGCCAGTTGTGTAGAGAGCAAGCCGTTTTCACTAAAATTTCTACGGTGTTCACATTTAGTGGTATAGGCGTGTTAAAAACACGAAACCTACTAGCCAAAATACCAAACGCATTTTCAACAACGCGCCTGGCTCTCGATAGTCGATAATTGAAGACTCTCTCTTCTACTGTTAGGCCTCTGTGTGAAAAAGGTTTCAAACAGTATGTTGTCAGGCAAAAAGCATCATCTCCTACGCAAAGTCCTCCTTTTGGCCAATTGAGGAGGTTTTGTTCAAGTGCTATTTTTAATGTGGAGTTCTTGAATACAGTGCTGTCATTGGCTCTACCATCTTGTCCAACATCTATATATCTAAAACAATAGTCTGCATCTACCATAGCAAATAACACAATACTATAAGTTCCCTTGTAGTTGAAAAACATTGATGTCGAATTAGGAGGCCGTTTAATTCGAATATGTTTCCCATCCAGAGCCCCACAGAGGTTAGGGAAATTCCATTTATACTCAAATCCTTTCTGGATCTCCTCCCACTGGATCGTTGTCTCTGGTACCTAAAAATAATTAACTTAAAAAATTATAAAGTCTAATAAAATCTTAAATATAAATGTTTACAAAATCAAGTAAAGTAACGAATAAATCCTTTAACGATTTTAAATGTTTGTAAAAATTCAAAAAGTATAAGTCGTGGAAACTAAACAGCTATGATAGTGATTATACTTTTTTTCAGAATATACAGCAATGTTCGATGTCTGAAGACGAACTAGACTCATCATGTATTGCTGATAATGAAAGTGACACTGAGCACACGTCTGAAGTGATAACGCCAGAGTCACAAAGTTTTGTTATACCCTCAACATCAGCTTCTTGTAAACCTAAGTTATTAGGAAAGCGTCCATCATTAGGAAAGTTACCACCAAAACGTATAAAATTAGGATTACCGTGTACTAAACAACTTCCGAATAGATTTGAAAATTCAATCAACAAATTACAGAAGATAGCAGAAATGGCTACTACAGACACTGAAGACCAATATGACACATTTGGCAAACATCTTGCTTCTCAAATGCGAGAGCTCCCTTTGAAAAGTTTCATTATACTTCAAAGCAAGTTTCAAAACCTTATAACTGAAGAGAGACTCGCAAATTTATATGGAAATTACAATGAACCTGCACAATCACAAAGTGGTGTAATAAGTCGTCCAAACAGCACTTCACATCACGAATTTATTGGGACTACTATGTATAGTGGACCTGAAAACACATTTAGTGAATCATCTGGCTCATGCTACATGGATAGAGAGTCTCCACAAGACATGGATATTCTGAACGAAGCATTAATAAGTATTTGTAAAGACCCCGAGGACTTGTTGCATGATGGCGACGACAATATATAAAATTTATTGTAATTATTTGGGTTTGTTTATAAAATTTTACAGAAGCATAATATAATACATCGTTTTTACATTTCAAACTGTTTATAACTTATTTTATATGATGTGATATTTTTTAAATACGTACCATAACCAAAAAAAAAAAAAACAATTAATTAATTTAGATTTTGGAGTTTTGTTCCATATTGTGATTATTACTTAAAGTAATAAAAAATAAGTTTTAGTAATACTTACTTTAATAAATGGTTGGAGAACTTCATAAATAGCGGACATCACTGCAGGTAAAAAAACTGAAATTGAGTTGTGCGGTACTCTAAACAATAACGCTAGAGACCTAAAACTATCTCCAGTTGCGAGATATCTTAGAGTAATTTCCAGCTTCGTTTTACACGGGATTGCCTGTCTGAATACTGTATCTTGTTTTTTAATTAAAGGTTCAACTAATTCTAACAATTCTTGAAATTGAGGGGCCGTCATTCTTAAAACATTTCTGTATGTTTCTGGATCCTCTTCTTTCAGTTCGTTGAGAAGTCTTGACGATGCCCCTAATTCTTCCCTTCTTTGTATCCATGGCCTGACCCACCATCGTCTCTGTTTGCGGTGAAGCTGGTTAATCATTTCTAAACTAAGTTCCCTGACACCCTCTCGTAACAACTGCTTAACAATTAGTTTTTTACGTGAAACGACAGACGACATGGTTGCTGAATAGTGAATAACTAACTGGAGGGTGCGAGTAGCAGCGACAGTAGTGTGACCAGATTGCCCGCCGCTGCTTGCTGGTACTACTACCAGCCGCTGGTAAGCAGCAGCTGGCAATCAGCATAATGTGACCCGCGCTTTACTATTTCGTTATAAACACATACGATTACCTACTGCATGCGGGCCCGCAAGCTATTTTATCATCAATTAGAGAACAATATTGGGAATATTAATGTCATTATTATAGCAAGAAAAACTGTTCATCGGTGCATTACGTGTTTCCAATTAAAACCAACAATAATTCAACTATTCATGGGTAATCTGCCAAAAGAATGCTTAAAACCAAGTCGTCCTTTTAAAATATACGGAATCGATTATGGTGGCCCAGTTATGGTAAAATCTAGTTTACAACTCAAAGGTCCTGTAACCAAAGGCTATATTTGTATGCTTCGCGACCAAAGCAATACATATGATAGAACTAGCTAGTGATTTATCTACTAAATGTTTTTTAAATGCAGTGAGACAATTTTGCAGCTGGCACGGAATTTGCTCAGACATTTACTCAGATAATACCACAAAATCGTGGGTGCTAATAATCGTAAGTCACAAGAACTTAAAAAATTATTTCTATCAGCCAACAATTAACGACAGAACTTGGAATACGTTGGCATTTCATCCCTCCTAGATCACCTCATTTTGGCGGTCTATGAGAAGCGGCCATTAAATCAGTAAAAACTTACTTAAATAAATGATTAGGAAACGCTATTTTAACATATGAGGAACTAAACACTGTGCTTGTTCAAATAGAATTCACGCCCATTGACTCCCTTATCATATTTATTCTGATATTAGGCTGTATTGAAATATGTCAGAATAATCTAGAGAATAATATAATTGTGGGTGAAAAAATATCTAAATTTTGGGAATTAGAAGACTGTTCATCGGACAACATACATACATTAGATGGAATTAAATGTAAAGACCATTTTGAAAAATCTGTTATACGGGTATTCAAGGACGGTTCGAGGTGAAATTGCCGTTTTGTGACTCTGAAGTTTAGGAGATTGGAGTAGAGCCACTCAGCGACGATTTAAACTATTAGAAAACGTTTCAGTAAGAATCCGCATCTCCATGCTCAATATATATAAATTGTCTACGTGCCGAACATCAAACGGGTTGAGTTTAAACTAAGTGTTATTGAAAGGTCCAAACAAGAATTAGTATGCATTTTTGCAAGATTCCGAACACAAAATCATTTTAATATTTTTAGTGATTTTTTGAAGTGGGAAATCGAATAAATTTAAAACAAGTGTTCTGGGTGCCTATAGAGCATCTTCTCGTATTTAATTTTACAAATGAACTACCTACCTATTTACTCAGTTGATATGAAAAAAAATACATATAGCGTTGACTAACAAATAGTGAAAAATATAATTATCTCGGTAAATTATATTGTTAGTTACCTACAAACATATTGCTTATACAGGGTGTCCCGTGAGGATTTACTCATTATCCGTAGAGGGGGACTCGCCGCCCGGACAAAAACCAGTTTATTGACGTTTTACTAATAAACTAAAAAAATTATTAAAAATCATGAGATTAATGAAAATAAAATGTTAAAAGCTCAAAATGTTCCCAAAAATATACTCTATAGAATGGCTATTTTCAATTTTTTCAAAAATAAAAAAATAAAAAAATAATTTTTTTAACTTTTTTACTAAAAAATTTAATTTAATTAAAAAATAAAATATTTGTAGTGCTTACCTCTGCGAGTCTTAATAAAAAAACATAATTACGATATCTCCATTATTTCAGGAGATATCGCAATGAGTAAATCCTCACGGGACACCCTGTATATTAAATCGAGAAGTAGAATTCTATTTAATTTGTTGTTCGACTCTCACATTATTTTTATTATTTTCTCATATTAAAATATTAAATCAAAATGATTTTTAATAACCAATACTTAATAAAGCTTACATTTACAGTAATTTCAGTTTGGATTATGCCTGCAGCTACTGAACCAAATATAGAAAAATTAAATAGTAAGGATTAATGTATTGATTTACAAAGGTTATATATTTGTGGAAATTTAACCGCATTGAGTTTTATAATAGGTACTATAATTAATTGAAATCTGAAAAATAATTATTGTAATTTTATGATAATCTATAGAGACAAACAGAACATACACCATTTCTTACTTTTCAGTTTAACATAATATGATATAGTTAATAAAATTGTAATGGTTTAAAAAGAATTCTATATTATTTTTATGTTACATTTGTATAAACTTAATTTAGTATTAGTCCAGTGATATTAGACGAAAAAAGGGGTCCAGCTCGGAAAAATTCCCACCTACCTGAATTTTGGTACACACCTTTATGACATCATTGTAAACAACGTGTGAAAAGTCGCCATATGTATCATGTACGCATCAAAGGTTATTCGAGGTCAAAGGTCATGAAATTCGCCGTTTATAATATCTCACTTTTTATGAGTAGTAAAATAAAAAGTTCTAGTTATAAATTGTAGAAGAAGTAATTATCTACAAAAAAGGTCTTATGACATTTTCAAGTAAACGTTATAATTTTTGAGTTAGATGCCATCAAAATGTACACTTTTAATGAAATATGATTTTTTTTTGCTAAAAACAAGTAGCTTTTGCGTTAATAATTCGCTTTATACTTGTTGTACAAAAAAATTTTCATACATGAATTGTAGAGGACAAAGTTATCTACAAGATGGTTTTATACATATATATCCAATCGCACTTGCGGTATATGAATTTTAACATTTACCGTACAAAATTACGATAGTATTATATATTATGTACCTATATGTATATAATATAATAACGATAATAAGAATGCATTCGTTTCCACACCACCATTGAGGTAGAAGCACGGCGAGTTTTTTTTTTCATGGTTCCACAGTAGGCCTTATCCATGTAGTCAAAAATTATATTATCATAGTAAAGTTAGATAATAGTCAAAACAAAGTAATTCATATTACATTTTAATTATTATTAATCATCAACTTCGCACTTCTTCTTCTTCTTCATCTTCTTAATTTTTTACTACATTTTATGTATTGTCTTCTTCAGATATATCCGCTGACAAAAGGTCATATGGGTCTATATCATTTATATTGTCATCTAAAGGAGTGGTGCGCAACCTGTAAACCAATAATTGTACACCAAATAAAAAAGTTATATGCTATAATGTATATTATTTTATAGTTTTAAAACTATATATATTGTATAATTATACAAAGTAAAATTATTTTGAACCGTTGATGGCTGTGTTAATCGTAATATTATGTCATATCTTAATACTGCGATAACAAGTTCTATTGAATCACGCAGTATATGGGTTATTTTTAAATTGAATTTAATCTGTAATTGTATTTAATCTCACGGTCATTATGAAATAGTCTGATAGTCATGTATGAGCCGTTGAGTTAAAGGGAATTAAAAACAAATATCGCTCCAGATTAAATGTTGAAGCTGATTTAAGAGTAGCAGTGTCAAATATCCAACCAAACATAGAGTCAATCATGTCTACAATGCCAGCTCAGGTCTCTCATTAAAATAATTAAAAAGTAATTTTATAATTTTTAAAATATTAAAATGTTCATTATCATTATAATAATACATTTTTTAATTTTAGATTTTATAAAACTCTAATTTTGTATTTTTTTTATTCATGTTTTTGATTAATTAAATTAAAAAAATATTAAAATTGCCTGTAATTAACTATTTAATGTATATGAATAAAATGTTTGAATACATTAAGTTACTTACATAATGATGGTCGGAAGGGGAGTCGTATTATCAAAACTTTTTATTTTACGACTCATAAAAAGCGAGATATTAAATAAACGGCGAATTTCGTGACCTTTGACCTCGAATAACCTTTGATGCGTACATGATACAGATGGCGAATTTTCACACGTTGTTTACAATGATGTCATAAAGGTGTGTACCAAAATTCAGGTAGGTGGGAATTTTTCCGAGCTAGACCCCTTTTTTCGTCTAATATCACTGGACTAATACTAAATTAAGTTTATACAAATGTAACTTTTTATTGTATACGACTCATAAAAAGCGAAATATTGAAAAAAAAACCAATTTCGTAACCTCGAATAACCTTTGACGCGTACATGATACAGATGGAGACTTTTCACACGTTGTTTACAGCAATATCATAAAGTTGTGTAAAAAAATTCAGCTAGGTGGGAATTTTTCCGAACTGAAAATCTAATATCACTGGACTATATTATATCTGGTGAAATATAGTAATATGTAAGCTTCTAACATTTGTTTGAATTGTTTCAATTTGATTTTTGTTTCTTCATGCAACAATCAATTAATATTACCAACAATAACTTAAATTATTTTGTTTACATTGGTGTAGAATTTAATTATTAAAGATAGTTGTTTAGAAATTGTTTCAAATTGAATGACTTATACAAAATAATCAGACAAATTTTTAAACATTTTTAATAGTTTACATAACTTATACTATGTTCGAGATTGACTTAAAAATCATTTTTTTTCAGAACTCTGTCAAGGTGTTGATTTTAATTAGTAATCAAATAGTAACATAGAACAGTTATGATGTACACAATTTTATATAAGTACAAAAAATATTATTCTGGTATAAAACTTGCAGACAGAGAAAATCGTTTGAAAATAAATTCATAAGAAACATATTATGTAAAAATTAATTTATAAGAAAAATACTATGGATAATTTTGGGTCATTAAAATTACCACAAGATGTTAGGTGTAACAGGAGAGGGGTAAACCAAATAACCATAGAGTAAGAAGACTAAGAAGCAATACACATACATCGGAATCATCATTGTAGATACCTAATTTATCAGGATCATAATGGTAAATTGTACTTGGGTGGAAATATAATTAGGAAACGAAACACATTAAGTACTAAGATATGTGATGAAAAGGATTCTAGAAAAAAAATGTACCTGGTA